AAAGAGCAGCTTTGGTAACATTGTGCAAGCTTCGACTAAACATACAAAAACATTTAATTTTCTAGTTACTATGCACTTGTTATGACAGTTTTAAACACTACGGATCCTGAAATGTACTTTTGATCAAAGGACAACATACTTTCTTATTCATACATACTAAGGTAAAACGAGTTGCAACCAACCTATAAGAGAACACGAACCTGACAGCTTCCCTTCTTTACTGAAAACAAACGTTTTTTACAAGAGTCAGTTGACACCTTGGACAGTCAAGAAGCATACATGCACTAGTTTTGCTATCAGATCATTCAAGTTGCTAGGTAAGTAACCTACTGACTAAAAATATTACCCTAAAAGATTCTCTTACTAACAGTATTTTCAGTGCTGAATATATCCTGTATGCCATTGTCTCTGCAACCAAAGGAAGAGCTTCAGTGTTTTGTATGTCCCACTGCACCAATTTAAAGAAATACTGTGTTTTTAGAGGGAAAATACAGAACATACAGCAGAAAACCTCAACTCTGCCTAAAGGAGAGGCTATGAAAGTAAGCGCGCCATTCATACTGTTCCATGTTTTTCAGACATAAAAGATCATGACAAATAGTTCTCTGTCACCCAAGAAATGCCTGCAAAATAATCAGGTCAAGAACAACCACTGCTCTGAGTTTCAACTGAAGCGGAGTTGTTACATGAGGTTGATGCTGCTTCGCATGGCTTAGCAATGTCATTGTAAAGATTTCAGAAAGGCGTTCTAAACCTGTTCCATCTACATTTAAGATCTACATATTTGAGAATCTCACGTGAGAAGACGACTTACTACAGTAAAGTGAGACAAGCTACTGAAAAAAGCATTAGCTTTGCCACAGCTGCCTTTGCCAGAGGAGACAGAATATACCTTTCCACACTTTCTTACAGCTTTGCATGAGCCTGATGGTTACAGAACTACCCATGATACACCAGCTAAATTTGCCAGAACTTTCATATGTGTTAAACAAGTTACCATTAAACAAAAATTAACATGGCCAGCCAGAGATCAAGATTCTACCCGAGTGGAAAAATCTCTCCTGAAGAATATAGTAAATGACACTTTCTCCATGTCTTAATATCAGACACGTAATCTCTTCAAAATTCAGATGTGTTCTTCAGGTAATTACCAGTTTTACATTTTGGTTTATTTTCTTAAATGATATAGGGAGTGTCTTTTATTTAAAGACAAAAAAACAATTATTTTATTTTAAAATTAGTTGTATCACCTTAAGCTGACATCACCTTTGTAAAACATGCCTGAAAAATAAGGAGAATGCTTCCTTTGGGGAACTTGTGCTCAAAGAGTTATGTTTAGGAAGCTCAAACCCTGCTATCAAGTTTTTAAAAGTGTTCCCAGTGTTCCATTATTTGTGATACTATTAGGAAATACTAATATTTATATTATTATTCTTTAAAAGAAAAAGAATTAATCTAATCTTGACTTTTTTGGCTCTAACACATCTTAATAACAATGCAGTTTCAGTCTTTACTTGAAGAATAATAAATCTAGGAAACATGACAAGCTTACAATAGTTCAGTTACTTTTTACACATCCTTTTGCCATGTGAATGCACACGGAATTAAGGCTGGCTTTATACACCCATCCAAGAATGCATTGTAGGCGAGGTAGGAGGTCTTTCATTATATTTAAATCACCTGAAATATGCTATTATGCTGTTTTAATTAAAAGACTACTTCTTATCAAGCCTTTCAAAACCTGCTGACATCAATGACAAGACTTGCAGTCATGACAAATTTGTTATCATTGCGGTTGCAACTGGAAAATATCATAGCAGTCTACTAAATACCGTTGTATTATAAAGACAGGATTCTCCTTCTATTTTCAAACACTAACAGAACTGCTGAAACAAAGCTTGAATGCTGTATTTCATTTCTAACATGGGGGAATGGCCAAAAAGTGTTCTAGTAGGCCAGTTCTCAGATACGGTTTCAATGCCATTCTGGAAATAAATTTAACTGAAAAAGGAAAAGGATTCCCATTCTTACAGAATTGTAAACAATAGCAAGAAAAAAAAAATTAGTCTAACATCATGACTACTACCTCTAAAAATATTGAATAAAAAGGTTAATAATTAAACCTTTTATCCATCTGACAAACTTCCAAATGCAACTACTGAAAACATAACAATTTCCTGTGGTGAGAACGTAAGGATAAAGTTTTCTGCTCTGTATGTACTACACATTTGGTAACTGGTGCCAGTAATACAATAAAAGAGGTGTGGGGTCTCCCTCCTTGGAAATACTCAAAAGTCGTCTGGATGCAGTCCTGGAAAACCAGCTCTAGGTGACTGCTTGAGCAGAAAGGTGGAACAAAATGATGTCCAGAGGTTCCTGCCAGCCAAACCATTCTGCAACTAGCAGTCCACTACTGGAATCCTTCTTTATTTACCAAGGGTCAACAGACAGTTGAGTAATGAGGAAAAATCCACAGTGGCCATGATGCTATGGCAAACTGGGATGCTGATATTTAAACTGTCCACTACTGAAATACATAACCAGTACCTTCTAATTCCGAGACATTTTCTGATACTCAAACCAGCAGCTGAAGATCCACAAAACACAATCAGGGCACTATTCTGATGCTCTCAAGTATCAGTTGAAATAAGGAGAGATGCCACCCCCTCCCTCCTGACCCCTCCATGCCTTTCCTCTGTCCACATGAAAACATGTGGGTAGACATTTGAGCACAAAGACAGCTGTCAGCTCTGAAGTAGCCAATATCTAACAAAATCAGCCTTTGGAGGCTACTGGTCACTGACTGTGGAAGATGAGTATCAGATGGCTGAAACCAAGTTTGGTCCTCCCCTTACACCCTGAAATTGCAGCCCTGTGGTAGGGATAACAGAATGCTTTCTGAATCAATCTCTGAAAATTTACATATTTCTAATGCAGTTTAGATTTCAATAAACTGAAAGGTTTGTTAGCATTAACACTAAATGCTGAAACCTATACTTGTTCATAGTTTCTTCACTACCCATTTGTTTTTCCTTTCCACCACCACTATTACTGAACATTTTTCTTTCCTTCTACGAGTAAGCATCACCTTCAGTGGCCTAACTTAATCTGCTCTGGCACTGCAAACTATGTTTTTATCTGGATCCCACAGTAAAGTGCTACACAATTTCTTCAAAAATTCACTTCAACCAATTTATCAAAAAACCTCTAAATTCTCAAACTTTTTATCATTGTATTTTACTTAGAGAGAATATTAGGATCAATACTAATAAACAATCTTTAAAAATGAACCACAAATATGGTATTTTGCATTTTGAACTCTGGAAATTACTTTGCAGAAACTAACTATGCAAAAGTGTAGACTAGTATATCTTTCAAATGAATCACTATTCATACTATTTTAAATAAATTATTTTTGCTTAAAAAATCTTCCTCACCAGTGAAGACCAAACTAGAAAAATATTGGAAGACATTGACATACTGCAGGTAGTGAAAAAATTCTGAAGAAGGACAGAATGTCTTAGAATCTAAATATGGAAACCAGGCTATTTAAGTACATAAATTAAAGTTAAAAACTTAGACCCTTCTACTCCTCAGCTCTTTTGTCTATATCAACCTTGTTCACAAATTGCTTATATGAAGGAAGGATGCTTTCAGAATTTTTTTATATCAGAAAAGGAAGTCTGCAACAATGACCTAAAAAAAAAATTCCCCTCAAACTATCGAGATTCAACTTGCCAGCAAAAGGAAGACATTTCTCACCATTTAATTTCATCTGTTCAACTATAACATGACAGTTAAACTTTGTAACTTGATGGACTTCTTTCTTTACAAAAAACTTTAGTCTTTAAAAAAAAGAAAGCAAACTGGGTAACTGTTTCCTATCTGCTCCTTTGCATATAAACCCACTTAGTATACTTAGCCAAGCAAGCTGTATTCCAAGATGCTCATAGAACCAAGAGTCTCAATTGTGTTTCACAAGGCTCAGTTATATTCTAGATATTAAATGTGTTTCTTTGACAAACAGTATTGTTGAAATTTGTGCATTCCCGATGTATAAGTACAAAGAATTACAACAGTGCTTCACATAGTTTCTACAAAGTATCTCAAATCTTTTACTTACTTTAATGAATTCTATACTGCCTACAGAAGCAGTTCCAAAAAACGAAAAAACGGGCACAAGAGCCGCATCTCCCACCTTTAAAAAGGGAAGCAAATATTATTTTGTCTTATTTTCAGAACTTTCCCTAAAAGCTGCCCAGGGAAGTGGCTGAGTCATGATCCCAGAGGTTTTACAAGACATGTAGATGTGGTGCTTAGGGACATGGTTTAGTTGTGGACTGGGTGTTGTTAGGTTTATGACTGGACTTATCTTAAACACCTTTTCCAACCTAAATGATTCTATGATTCTACATGTTAACATCATTTCAGCAGCTATGTATATCCTGTCATTTCTTTAGCTCATCATATTTATTTACATTACATATTTACACCAGCATAATCTTTAACTACTCTGAAAAAGCCTCATTAACAGCATCAGCATTAAAAAAATAAATGAAGAAACCAGTATCAAATATAAGCTACTTATATCCTACCACATACTGCATTTCAAAGGGATCAATAAACTGGCTAGGTGGCTTTGAAAACTCAAATTGTTGCAGTCTATTCACTTAGGTATCTTTAATAAGCATACCTACCTTCTGCTCACCCCACCATGACATACTTGTAATATGAAGATGTTATGCTACAGAAAGATACACCTCATCTTTCTTTTATGACATAATTATTTGCCAAGCCATGACCATGATGATTAGACACCCAGAGAACCTTATTCCCATAAACAGTATTTCCATAAGGTTAAATTATAATTTTGCACAATACACAAAACTTGCAGTTCTTAAAGACTACAGACTGGGAAAAATTACGACTTGCAAACAAGATGATTACAGACAAATGACAACTGTTGAATTCTTGTTTCTCCACTTGAAAAGCACACGTACCTTTTCCTAAATGTGTATGTATACTCATGTATCTAGCTGTTCCTGTAAGGCTCTTGTGTTCCCGATATGGTATGTGCTTCTTACTTTCTGGATCTATATATTCCTTTGCCAAACCAAAATCTATAATATGAATAATTTGCTGTGTTTTGTTTCCAGGTCGTCCTATTAAGAAGTTCTCAGGCTTTACATCTCTGTATATCAAGTTCTTTGAATGGACATATTCCATACGAGAAATCTTTAACAAAAGGAAAAAAAACAAAGTTTAATTTAAGCTTCAGGTTGCCACATTAAATTGTGGTAGAAGCTAGCTATCTTACAATGACTTTATATTTATAGGAAATTGCCCCTTCTATAGCTTTAAAATCAAAGGGCTATTGCTCTTAACAAGGTATCTCCCAAATCAATGAAAATTTTACACATCCCCCCAAGTAGATACATCATATTGTGTATTGGAAACTTTCACATGGACATCAGACATGAATCAGCATATAACAGAAGTTATCTTCTTTAAGGACAGCTGCCACCAAGTATGTTTTGTGCACATTAAAACCGTAACCAGAAATTATGTCATCTAGCAGTGAGCAGCAAAGTTCCATGTAGATCTATTACATATTAAAGGCACAGATGAGAGAAGCACTGAAAGTTCATTAATATGCATATAACCTCCATTCTAGCTGGATCATTTTCTATCAAAATTTATATATTTGGAAAGGAACAGCAAGTATTAAATAAACATGATCTTGGGATCTGTAATGATTCGAGCATTTTAAAAAATGAACTTTGTTAGTTTGGCTGTAAATAAGCTGAAGATATGTTTATAGTTGCAGGCTTGTTATACAATTACGGTTGTGCTTTAAGCAGTTACTTTTACCCTTCATGGGTAAAAATATCACTAATTATTTAGGGAAGTGGAGGTTCAGGAGCATTAATATTTCATGAGCACTTGTTTAAAACAATTTGTTATGGTAAACATGCAAAGCCTTATGTCTTTCTTTCTCTTTCTCCTTCTACCCACCCTCAGGTAGAAAACAAATCAGGAAATCTTCAAAAAAAGGAAAAATTCTTCATTGAATAATTTTGTGCTATTTCACTACTTGTGGAAGGGATTCGGGGATTTTTCCTTAGCTTGCTTTCTTTCCCAGAACGTCCAGGAAAAATGTTCATACTATTTAGGAGTCCCATCATCCAACTGCTTTCATGGATTAAAATTATTTTTATTTCATGAAGGTTTTCTTTTTAGATTATGTCAAAATAAAATTCATTATTTCAAGTTGTGATTGTAAGAACTCAGAAGACACAATGAAACTACAGCGATGCAATGATTCTTGAAAAACTTGAACCAAGTAAATGAAATTACATAAGACAATCTTCCTGATAAAACTGTTTCACAGGCTCTTTAAAAGCCACCAACACCAATTTAAAACATGGGAAGTGCGAATCTCAAATGAAATAAAGATATAATCCATTCAAGACATAGTTATTCTAAAGAACACTCAAATTAACATCTATTCTACTTACCAACTGTATGGCTATCATAAGAACTGTTTTAAGAGAAAATGTCCTACCACACAAGTCAAATAAATCTTCCAGACTAGGTCCAAGTAGTTCTAGCACCATAGCATTATATTTGCCACATGGGCCAAAATAGTAAACCTGAGGTATTCCATCTGTAAAATGAAGATACAAAGTAATTATAAGGGGTAAATGAACACAGCAATAAAATTACTATCATATTTCAAGTTGACCTGAAGTTAAAAGTACATTTCACACAAAATCAACAATAAAACTTCATTAAAACTACAGGTAAAAGATAGAACAGGAGTAACGAAGGCAGTATCAGTTTCATTAAATATTTTATGAATTTCACATGTTTGACTCCTGAAAGATTTAAAGCTTTTTATAAAAAATAAAAATCAGAGTATATGTGTTAGGTTTTATAACAGTAAATTGAAACAAGTTTTTAAAACATTTATGAAGAGAGGCTTAAATAAGCTCCTGTTCAAATAAAATAGGTATTTAAATTAAGCTGTTTCAACTCAGGCTATGACAAACCTACATTCAGGAATAAAACCACTTTATCTATATAAATCATTTAAAAATCCAAAAGAGATTAATGAATTCTCAAGTTTAAGTCAAGTTTTAGATGCATCATCAAAATAAAAACATAACAGATTACGAATTGTTATAGTCATCACTTCTTAGTATTAATTTTGTTTCCAAATACAAGCATTTTCTACTTAAATTTATACTGGAAGGTTTCTCCCGTCTTCTCTTCCTCCATTATTTTTAGTTTCTGCTTAGCACATAAAATAAATTGTTTTTCTTAAGTGCAAGTTAGTCCATTAAAAATCTGAACACCAGAGAGTGGAAGTTTGGATTTTTACAATCTAGATTTCTAGTATAGTATATGGTAGATTGAGATTTACTAATTCAAACCATATGAAGGACCAGGTGGTTTTTAAAATGTAATCACAAGAACTGCTAACAGGGAATTTTTTTAGACATCTCAAGGGTCTCTCAATGTCTATGATAAAGATTCACACTGATTTCAATTCCAAAGTACCACAACCAGACATCACTCAAATTCTTAAATTCTTTCAAAAATTGATGTCCAGAAAGAACCCATTAAATTATATTCTTACTGTCAAGTTATTACAATGATTTAAAATAAAAAAAATCTTTGAATAAAACACAGTTTCAGATCTAATATTTTATATTAACAAGCACAAATTTATACATTTTAGTTGTGGGCTTTTGTTTTTTACTTAGAAAAGTATTAAAATAAAAATTAAATTCCGAACAAAACACACATCACTTCCAAATACAATACATAAAAATATCCCACTGTATGTTCAGGTAACAATTCTTTAGATACTCCATAAACAGGTATAAAATACATTTACCTTTGGGCAAAAGGCAAATTTATTATTAAAGCTACATTTGTTTTCAAATCTTGCATGCAGTCTGATGTGTGAATTGTGACTCTGTAACATATTTTACATCAGGAAAAATGTTTGACTTGGCAATAGCATTCTCCAACATAAAACACTTGAAGAATATGTTAATTTGCTGATCATAAAAGCTATAAAAAACAAAAACTGTGCTATTGTGTCGAAAAATTGAGTTTTGTTGAATTTTCTTTGGCAGCATTCCAGAAACCCTGGCAGGAACACAAATTACAGTACATCTTTCATCAGACAGCTGGTGATACTGAGGCCACAAACATCTTGAAAACTATAGTTAAAAGTCACACGCATTGCACTGAGAAGACTCCCTATCTAGTCTGTTACCAGGATCATTGAACAAAGGTCTCCTGATGCACACAGCTTGGACTAGCAGAACTACATGCCACCTGAAAAAAATTTCTTTTCTTTTCCCTGAACAGAAGCACAATAGGCAAGTCCATATAACAAGGCTTCTTTTGGCACAGCAGGAGAATCAGTTAAATATGTTTAACAAATTAGTTAAGGGTATCTAAACCTTTAGTAGAGATATAACCAACTTCCAGTTTAAGTTAGCAGTGAACATAGGATCACCCACTTCATGAGACAGTGCTTCCTAAATGTGTATTTGCCAATATTAACAATAACAAAAAGGGTTTTTTTCAGTATGTTAACAGCAAGAGAAAGGTTAGGGATAATGTGGGCCCACTGATGGATGAGGTGGGCACCCTAGTAGTGGAAGACACAGAGAAAGCAGAGTTGCTCAATGCCTTCTTTTCTTCAGTCTTCACTGTTGGGACTGCCCCTCATGAATCTGTGACCTTGGAGGCAAGGGGGATGGTATGGAGAGAGGAAATTTTTCCTCTAGTAGAGGAGGACCAGGTTTGGGACCACTTGGCCAAACTGGACATTCATAAGTCCATGGGCCCTGATAGGTTGCACCCACGAGTGCTGAGGGAGCTGGCAGATGTTATTGCTGGGCCACTCTCGATCATCTTTGAAAGGCCATGGAGAACAGGTGAGGTGCCTGAGGACTGGAGGAAGGCCAATATCACTCCAGTCTTCAAAAAGAGCAAGAAGGAGGACCCTGGGAACTACAGACCAGTTAGTCTCACTTCTGTCCCTGGGAAGGTAATGGAGAGACTCATTCTAGATGTCATCTCCAAACAAGTTGAAGAGCGGGTGGTTATTGGAAGTGGGCAACATGGGTTTACCAAGGGTAAATCATGTATGACCAATCTGATAGCCTTCTGTGATGCCATAACCGGTTGGTTGGATGAGGGGAGGGCAGCAGATGTCATCTAGCTTGACTTCAGCAAGGCTTTTGACACTGTCTCCCATAACATCCTCATTGGGAAACTGAGGCAGTATGGGCTGGATGAGGGGACAGTGAGGTGGATTGAGAACTGGCTGTGCGACAGGACTCAAAGGGTAATGATTAATGGAGCAGGTTCAAGTTGGAAGCCTGTAACCAGTGGAGTCCCCCAGGGGTCAATACTTGGGCCCGTGCTGTTTAATATATTCATCAGTGACCTGGACGAGGGGACAGAGTGTATCCTCAGCAAGTTTGCTGATGATACCAAACTGGGAGGGGTGGCTGACACCCCGGAGGGC